GGGGGGGGGGGGGCAAGTATGGTGGGGAAAAGACGGTTCAGATTAGAGAGAGATATAAAATTAACGAAAAGTAAAATTTAGAACTTTAATAGTTATGTTATAATCAATAATATATGTATTGTGTAACTTAGTATATATTTCGGTACGGTATCCGTATTTCGGTATTTTATTTTTAAATATCAAATACCATACATAATACTATTTTTTTAAAGTTTAAACCAAATATTAAACTATTGAATTGCCAAATTGTATAAGGTCGAAATCGAACTCGTCTACGGCATGATAAGTCAGGCTCAGAACATGACAATAAAGGACTGAAGATCGAACCCGGGGCCGGAACGCCTGCCTTGGAGAATATCGAGGTCGTGATGAGTCGATCCTAACCCCGAACAAGCTCAAAGTAACATTATTAGCACAACCAACAGAAGACCGAAATATCCGTGACCGGTCGAATATTACGACGGAAATCTCGGCACTTATCAATAAGGAATCGACAATCAGCAAATCAAGAGATTTTTTACCTTTTATTGAATTGTACCTAAAGTAGGATTCCTCAGCTATATAAAGGGGGTCTGATAATTTATTTAGGACAGGGTAATACGCATTCTAAAGCAATATATTATTATTTCTCTCTTTAAGCTCTTGTTCTTCTGTATCTTGATACCGATCAAAGTGCATCCAGTTCAAGTGTGACTGAACTCCCAAGACTGTAACTTTTCAATTCGCGTGGTTTGAATTTACTTTATCGTTGTTTATTTCAATTGCAACTTCATTTATCACTTTGTGTCAAGTTAATCCGCATATCCTTAAAACTACCTACAAATTCAATTGTTATCCGATTTTGAGGGTAAACAGTTTGGTGCCCATCGTGGGGCTAAGAATAATAGTGGTTATTTGATACAAATTTCCATAACACATACTATTTTACACTTGTTCTTTGAAGTGCCTCTAATTTCAGGTTAAAGCTCAAAATGTCAAACTCACAATCAACACCCCTATATGTTGACAACGAGTCCTGCCATCACGGTGAAAATAAAACATAGTTCCCAGTGATGGGGAACCGCCGGTTGATCCCATCAGAATTTCGGTCGCGGACCCGAATGACGCTAACTCACATGTGGCTATCGACACAAATCTGCCGACCGACCCTGAAAATAGCGTCTGTGGTAGAGCACGATCCTCAGCTCTAAATACACAAAATATTGGAGGAGACGGGATCAATTTACGGATGATCTTCAAAATGTTACAGGCTCAACAAGCGGCAATAACGCAGTTACAAAACCAAAGCTGCACTCCGAGCAGAATTGAACCTGATCCGTCCCGGAAAGTCACCCGTAGGGATGAACCAGTCGAAGAGAGGTCGAATGAAAATGAATCGGGGACTAACCCCGAGATCATAAAGATGCTCGAGGAACTGACAAAATGGGTAAAATTAGGGGAGAAGAAAATCGAAGCTAATGACAAAAAGGTGGAAACCTACAATTTAAGGTCGACCAAATCCTAGGAGCACCGCCGATACTAAAAGGCCTGGATTCCAAGAAGTTCGTGCAAAAACCTTTTCCTCCGAGCAGGGCTCCAAAGCCGATGCCTAAGAATTTTTGCATGCCTGAGATTCCTAAGTACAATGGAATGACTAACCCAAACGAGCATGTCACCTCCTACACATGTACAGTCAAAGGGAACGACTTAGAGGATGATAAGATCGAGTCTGACTTGTTGAAGAAGTTTGGAGAGACCCTGTCAAAAGGAGATATGATATGGTATCACAAGTTACCTCCTAATTCTATTGACCCATTTATTATGCTTGCAGATTCTTTCCTGAAAGCACACGACGGGGCTATCAAGGTCGAGACCAAGAAGTTGGAACTTTTCAAAGTGAAACAGAATGATAATGAGATGCTCAAAGAGCTCGTGTCCCGATTTCAAATGGAACAGATTAATCTTTCACCGGTCGCTGATGATTGGGCCATTCAAACTTTCACCCAGGGACTCAATGTTCGAAGGTCGGTGGCTTTACAACAGTTGAAACAAATTGTGACGACCCAAACCAATGGGCTGTGACGGGCACCCGGTATCTTACTCAACCGAGTACCAACATAACGTATTTCTTATTACATTATCATATACCCGTGAAATATGGGTCTAATAGGCCAACATAATCATTTATAAACTCAAAATATAGGCCGACAAGGTCGTACAATCTTTCACGTACACGA